TTTTTTTTTTTTGCCTGTACTCTGCCGATTTCACCTCATTCACAATAGATAGTGCCACAGGTAAAAATAAAACAATGCCTAATTTATCAAGTGATAATGAAAATGGTAGTGACCCACACTCAAAAGATATTGAAGTTGTTTTTCATGTATTTGGGAGAAAATTGTGCTGAGTTAGTCATCCTATCTCACTTTAGTAGAAATAAGAAAAGTTTCTAATACTTCCTCTAAATAATTCATCATCAGGATGATGTATTTTTATACCATCTATTTTTTATATGTTCTCAATAGTGATCAAGTAAATCTTGTTTTTGTTTTTCAGTATTCTTCTTGGCCAGCTAAATCTTTTTCCTTCAAAATAACTCAGTTGGACAGAAAATTACCTCCCACGTAATGACGAGTTCAGACCGGTTTCCTCCACCTCCGTTGATGTTTACTGGTGCCACAAGAGGGACTAAAAAGTAACCGAGAGAAATGTGGGATGGCGATTATTAAAGTATGTCTTCATCAGGAAGAATTTTGCTTTTTGGACCTCACCTTTCAAAATCTCACGCAGGCATATTGTGAGAGAGTTTTGCATTCTTAATGAACATAAATTATGTTTACACATATCCAAATTTCTAAGAGAGAGGACACAGTTGTGTTTGATACATGGGCACCCTGGCTCTGAAATTAATTAAAAATTGAGTAACATCGGGTATTTGACATTATTATGCATCATCTACTAATTGGCAAAATGATGTTCCATTCAGATGGCAACTGCCACACTGCTGATTTAGTGCCTAATTATGCAGTTGTGCTGTAAACAAGTTACTGAGGCAGCATATTAATTAATTATTTGTTCAATAAACAAACTAAAATAATTTTTCTCATTAGTCATCGGGATATTTTAACATTTAAAATTAAAACCTTAAAAATAGGCAAATAAATAAATTCTTGCTTTCAAAGTCCCTGTTTGAATCTCACATCTCTCATCGGAGAACGGGAGGGACTTTTCTTCTAACTTTTCACTTGCAAAGTCAGATTTTTCTCCTGTCAAGCATGTGAGTGGGAGAGATTCCCTCCATGGTAAAGCCACAGAGCCTGAGATCAGAAACCAACAATTTTAGTGAATGAGAAAAAATATACCCCTTAACTATACCCTTGTAAGGACTAGTATAATGAATAATCGTTCAAGGTAAATTGTAAAATTAATGACAATTTTGAGTGTGCACAGGGTATTATAACATAATCAGAATGAGGATTTACTTTACCACCTCTCTTAAAAAGTATTATTTTTCTTGGCATGGCAAAAGTATCTTAAATCTGTGATGAAGGCTAAATCTTCAGGGTAAACTTTTAAAATATTGAATTACATGAAATTATCTATATTGGACCATTTTTGACCAATATCCAAAGGTAGGGGTAGAATCACCTGGCTATGGTTGGGGATTGGCAGGCAGGGATTAAAATATGTAAGTTTTAATTGCTCGTTTCAAATTTTTTCTCATTATAAAGACCATCTAAATAAATGTAGATTACTTATTTTATTTATTCCCATTTCAGACAGAGTTTAAATGCAAAAATCACACAGTGATATAATAATCTGATTGTTCTTTTTCAAAATAGCACCAGTCAGACATACATTTTTATG